CTCGTTCTGAGTCGCCTCCTCAGCCTGCCACTCAACGGGTGACTCGCGCGCGCAACAAGGTCGCCCACCCGGGGGCACGCGATCTGCGGGGTTGGGACCCTGACAACCCCAATCGCGTCCCCACCCCGCCGGCCGAAAAACGGGAGAAGTCCGCCGCTGCGAAAAAAAGGAGGAGCAAGAAAAGGTCCAGCGGGAGCGCAAACAGGCCGCCGCCGTCGTGAGAGCCGCACGGGAGCAAGATCGACTGCAGCGCGAAGAGGAGAGGGCGGTCGAGCAGCGTCGTAATCCCCCTCCCCCTCCCCTCCGGCTCCCTCAAGCCAGACTCCCGCCATCGAAGCCCTCCAGGGTCGCAAGAGAAACCTGTAAGTGACACTCACCTGTTCTAGAACCTCCCTACTGATTTCGCTCTCGCCAACGTCACCAGCCTTGCCGCCTCCTGACCGCCGATCCTCCGAGGCCAAGACTCCTAGGGTCAGCGGGTCAGCAATGCAACTGTTAGGAGACTATACAGACAGCGACGACGAAGATTGTCAGTGACTTACCTCACCCCGATGTCCTCTACAATATGGACTGACGTTCGCCAGCCGACGACGCGATCGCACCCGATGCGACTCCTCCGGCGGACATGGCGTCCGAAGATCCGTCCGGAGACGCGGAGTCTTCTGGCGACTCGGATTTCGAACCGAAGGACACAGATGGCGAGGGAGAGGAGGAGGTCGACGGGGCCATGGACGTGGATGAGGATGAGGACGAGCAACCGCGCAAACGTGGTGCGCGCAAACCACTTCGGCGTGGCGATGTGACAGCCGCGCGCGCCCACAAAGAAGCCTCGTCGGGCGGTACCAGGGCAGCTGCGGGCCACAAGCGGAAGGGACCTCCCGTCATGGCGGAGAGTCCCGAGGTCGACTCGTGCGTTTTCTCATCCCTTGCTTGCCACCTCACAGCTTGCTGACCCCATTCGCCTCCGTCTCATTCCTGCTCGTGCCCCTCTACTCACCCTCGGTCCCCAACATCTCTCCCCGATGACGCCCCTCACGGTACCCCGACATCGCGACATTGCGACCACTCGCACCGCGCGACGTCTCGCACCGCCCACTCCTTCGCTATTGGGCATACTCACCTGGTATGTATATCTATTCTTGTTCCCTCGCGACCACATCTGCATCGCCAACATCTACTCCGGCGTCGCTCCCATCGCTGCGAGGTTCGACCCGTTGGACATGCTGTTCATCGGGCTAACGGGCGCCATCCTCGTCACGGCAAGCGCAGCCATGTTGAACCCGCCAGCCGCAGAGAGATCCGCAAGGCTCAGGGTGGCCATGCCCATCGCCCCGAACCGAGCCATGCATGCTGCCGTCGTCACTGGACCGGCTGGACGTGTTCGATGGAGCGGGCCCGGGGCTGGGTGCACCACTGGCGGCCCAGCCCACCCGAACGTGTTGCGGTGACCTGTCGCTTTCAAGCTCGCACCATCTCCTTCATATGTTGGTAGTCATTGCTGTCCATACTCACAACTCGGATGCTCCCTGACAGACCTCCATCTGTGTACCGTCGGTCCACATCTTCCCATACGCTGCTCCCTCTGCGCCGCCGGACGTGTCACATCGGCCCGACGTGTCGCCCCGCGATTGGGCATATATTATTCTCATCTGTAAGTCAAATGTTAGCCTCACACTCTACTTGGGGACCCCCCTGTGGGTCACCCGCTAACACTCGTCGCTATCCGTGCTCATCATACTCGCTCA